GGGTGGCATACTGTGATTGGATTAATCATTGCTTCTGTTTCAAAAAATTGAGTATTTCTGAAGTAAGAATATAAAGGTGAAGTATGAAAAAATCAGTAAATCACGAGACAAAGGGCTGTGCACACATGATCAACAATGTGACAAAAGTGGAGATGAGTAATATAATGACTACTTTATTCTTGCTTTCCTTTTGTATCTTCTTTTGGCTATTTTCTTTGGTATCTTTAAAAATTTGTTGCAAGTCAGTGTAACAAGTTAGGCAAACATTGTTTAGCCATTCAATGGTCTTTTCATCATCTAAACCAGAGGCCCACACTCTATGGCTCAAAGACCAAATCTGGCCCTCTGCATGTTTTTGTAAATGAAATTTTATTGGAAGACAGTCATGTACATTCATTTACGTATTGCCTATGGCTGATTTTGCACAATGACAGCAAAGTTGAGTAGACCATAAGGCCTCAAAAGCCTAAAATATTTACTATCTGGCCCTTTACAGGAAAAGTTTGTCATTCCCTGATCTAAATTGTTTCATCTTTTAGTGTTCTATGTGGAAATCATACTCTCTGACCACAACCTTCTCTCCTACTCTCTGTCCCATTAGATCTGTTTTTTTCTACTTCTCCAAGACATCCCATTTTTTCAATTATCTTCTTTTTCTAGTAAATCTACCATCTTCTATTATATATCTTTCCCTTTTCAGTCACCATCACAATCAATTCCATTTCAAAATTTATTTAATCTGAAAATAAAGCTGGTCATATGTGACCCAATCTCTGGCTTGGGTCAATAAAAAAAAATCAATTAAATAACAATGGAAAGATCTAATTGAAAGAAATTTAAATATTTACATAGGTTGTAAAGAAAATGCTAAAGTGGTGAGGGAGGAGTGTGCTCTTAATGAGTAGTAGAACATTTCAAAATCCTATCTTCCCAGCATCACTATTCTCAATATTCCCCCAAATCAAAAACATCTGCTGTAGTAGATGCTATGGTATACTGCTCAGACCTTCCTTTCAGGAACAAGGCACTCATTCCTCCAGCTGCCAGGCTCTCTTCAGGAATTGCCCTCAGCCAAAGGGAGCCACCTCACTCAAAATTAAGCCTCCTTTTGGAGAGAATCCCACATCTAATGCTCGTTGATGTGGCGGTTTGAGTCCCTTTGCCCCAATGAGGGAGTCCATCCAGTTTCCAGAGCTCCCCATGAGATTGTCTGAGACCTCTGTCGTGACTACATGACAACTCGACTATTCCCCTGGCCCAAGTCTCCTTCTCTCTCACACACACATGTGTTATTCCTAAAAGCATGCTGCAATAAACTCTTGCACACAAATCTCTGCCCTGGAGTCTATTTTCCAGGGAACCCAATTTAAGAATGCTGCTTTCTTCAAACTTTCCTTCTCTCATCCCATTCTCATCACCCAAAAAGAAGCTTCCCCCAATCCCAGTCTTTCTAGAGCTTTATGTCTTTCTCCTCACAGTCCTGTTTTCCTCACAATCCTGGGTCAATTCCTTTCCTCTCCATAGAGTTCACTATCTTTTCTTTAAGTTTACTAATTAGATATAAAAAAGAATCTATAACTAGTTCTATAATTTGTGCTAATATGTTTTTTTTATTTTTTTATAGTTTTTTTTTAAAGATTTTATTTTTTCCTTTTTCTCCCCAAAGCCCCCCAGTACATAGTTGTATATTTCTCATTGTGGGTCCTTCTAGTTGTGGCATGTGGGACGCTGCCTCAGCGTGGTCCGACGAGCAGTGCCATGTCCGCCCCAGGATTCGAACCAACGAAACACTGGGACGCCTGCAGCGGAGCGCGCGAACTCAACCACTCGGCCACGGGGCCAGCCCCTGTGCTAATATGTTTTAATGTCTTATTCTAAGATTTCAAAATATTGCCTTATAGAAGACAGTTTTGGACTGTAATATCAGGTCTAATTGTTTAAATGTTTCACTGTTTTATTTTTAACAGAATTTGTAACCAAAAAGCATTTAAGATTGTATCTTTTACATTATGCATTTAAAATTCCTTATATGATCATTATATGGTGAACTTATAGTGAAAGCTCTCCTGCAATAACATTTCCCCCTGTGATAGCATTTTCATTCAAAATGAAATGCTCCAGTACAAAAGTTGGACAACAAGGCAGCATGAGAAGACATAGCTTTTTTTTTTTTAATTTCCTAACATCACCAAGTTCTTCTTTGGTAAGTTTGCTTCTGAAAGGAAAGAAGGAAGGAAGGCAGGAAGGGGAAGGAAGAAAAAGAGAAGGAAGACAAAAGAAGAGAGACAAGAGGAAGTAAGCCACAAGAGAGAAGGGGAAGGGAGGGGAGGGGAGGAGAGGAGGAGAAACCAAGTTGAAACAAATCAAGAGAAAATCATTGTAAATTCATGTATTATTTTGCATGTAGTGCCTCTGAAGTTCTAGAATGATTATTTTTTCCAGAGACCAAATGTTTAATTTTCTGAAATTTCCAGCATTGGCACATGTTAGAATAAACAACTCACCTTCATTCTGCTTGAACTTAAAGTTAAGAAAAAATGAAAACAAAGAGAGTAATGTGAGGTGGGGAGGAGTTTAATATCACTTCCTGATTTTAAAATAATTTATGTATCCTCCATAATTAAACAATCATGGAATTCGGGGATGATTAGCCAGACAAACCAACGGCAGTGAATAAAATATACAAAAATATACTCAAATGTGTATGGAAATTTGATCTAAGAAAAAGATTCCTTCATTGCAGCATTATTCACAATAGCCAAGTCTTGGAAACAACCTAAGTGCCCATTGACAGACGAATGGCATATATATACAATGGAATACTATCAGCCATAAAAGATAAAATCTTGCCATTTGTGACAATATAGATGGACCTTATGGGTACTATGTTAAGCAAAATAAGTCAGATGGAGAAAGACAAATACCGTATGATTTCACTCATATGTAGAAGATAAACACATAGATATAGAAGACAGAGTGGTGGTTACCAGCGGGGAATGGGGGTGAGGGGAGGGCAAAATGGGTAAAGGAGGACATTTGTACAGTGATGGATGGAAACTGGACTTTGGTAGTGAACACAATATAGTCCATACAGACATCAAAATATAATGTTGTACACCTGAAATTTATATAATGTTATAAAGCAATGTTACCTCAATTGAAAACAAAGATTCCATCTCATATCACTGGCATAAAGATGGGCTTTTAAAATAAATTGCACTGGGACACCTGGATAGCCATTTGGAAAAACATAAAATTGGAGCTGAATCTCATACCATATACAATAATTAATTCCAAATAGATCAAAGAGCTAAATGTTAAAGAAATGAAACTATTTCAGATTATTTCCATAGGATAAAATTCCAAAAGTGACATTATTGGGATAAAGAGTGAAAACAAGTTAAGGTTCTTGATTCCTACTGGTAAGTTTATTTTTAAAATTCTTGTTCTAATTTACATCCCCAAATGTAGTATATGACAGTTCCATTCTTATTCAAGTCTAGTCAAGAATGTGTGTTCTCATTTTAAAAGTATTTAATAGAATATATGTGTGTGCGGTGTAGTTTAAGCTTTAGGAGCCCTCATTTGCCCTAGCCCTTTCAATGCCTTGGGAATATGTGTTATCAGAGTCAAATATTTTTGTAAAATTAACAAAAGGAAGATTAAAAATTTTTTTAAGAGAGTCCCAAAATTCCATAAGCTTCAAGCCCCACAAAACCTAGATCAACTCCTGACTATTTTATTGGTTTGAAGCATATGAAATTGCCCTTTTAGTATGTCACAAGTGAACAAATCCAGAAATTGCCTACGGTTCAACTAATTCACATAATTTGGTGACTCACAAAGTGTTTCTATACGAGGAAAAAAAATCTCCAATAACAGCATTACCAGGTCAAAAAGTACCCCCAAAATAAAATTTTAATAGATACTGTTAGATTGCCTTCCAAAAAGTTTGTATAGATACCCAATCCTTCCAACCACAAATAAATGTGCACATTTCCCTCACAACAGTGGGTGTTAACCAGCACAACTACACACTCTTGTTTACCCAAGGTAGTCCTCGTCTACACCAGTTCTCTCAGCATAATTATTAATAGTACCCCCTTTCACTCTCAAAATGGTCCCAGTTTGGATGCTATATGGCCACCCTAGTGTCTCTGATCTTTTAAAGTAATTACTATTATTATCTCTTCCCTGGAGATCATTCTAGCCTCTAGGGGGCCTGTAGACTTCTGGGAGGTACCTGCATTCTCCTTCCACTCCCTCCCTATTAACCTGCACTGACCACGTCAGGAGCCATAGAATTATAGAGCTGCCTATAGCTAGGGACTTCCTTTCTGTGTAGATGGACTTAGGAGGCAGCAATAAAAGGATGCCTGTGTGTTTACCTTGTTGAAAGTCAAGCACAGGTAAGTGCACCCACACACACACACAAAGCCCAATTAGTAACTGTTTTAATCCAAAAAACAGTCCCCAGCTGTTCATCACTCGACATGCCCGAGACGTTGATAAGACAGTCATAGCACTGGATGAGGGGTTGGGCAGGATGATCTCCACATGTCTTCAACTGCTGAGACTCTGTGACTACACTGGTAACAGTGGACACTTACGGAGGACTTACTGAATCTCATGGACAATTCTAAAACTCTTACCTGTAAAATCTCAATTTGTCCTCAAAGCTACCCAATGACTTAGTGACTATTATTAGATAATATTAACAATTGAGTAAACTAAGGCACAGACAGTTTAAGTTAGCTGTCCAATATGACATGATTTCAACTAAGGCAGCCTAACTGAGGAGCGGTTCTATCTCCATTTCTGCTGCCTTCTATTACATGTTTTCAGGCACTGAAAATCTGTTTATATTTTACAGGTTTGATTTCCATTTACTTTCTTAACAATTCTGATTACATTTCTGGAAAAGTTGCCTAATAGGAGTGGAGGATGCCTATGCCTCATGCCTATGCAGAAAATTCATGCAATGTAATTTGAAACTTTACCTTTGAAGAAACTTCCTTCTTCTCTCTCTGGAAAATTTATCTTCTCAGTTATCTATTCATCAAATGCTATGAGAAGCGAAAATCAATTTACCTTTTCAAAGTCTTTCTAAGAAAAATCAATGATGACTTACCTAATGTTTTAAAATGCTAAGCACAAAATATTTATAAATAATTATATGACATCTATTCTGAGATTTTACTATTACTACTATTTTAATATTTAGGGTTCAAGTTACTTAAGGTATTAGCAACTTGAGTATGAATTTGATGAAGAGGAAAACGTCAAATATTTGGTGGTGACCACAAGACTAGTTGTCTCTGTGACAGAAAACCTGTGAATGCTCAATGAAGCTGTAATCCCAGCAAATCATCTTCTGAATTCATTTTCTAGAGAAGTTTGGACCAAGCAGCAAGAGGGGTGATATTACCACCACTCCTGGAAAACAACTCTGTGGGTGAGGAGCATTGTGGTCAAACACAGTGTGTAGCATTTTTCAGGTCCCACTCCCACATTTTCCTACCCCACAAGTCAGAAGTGTGCTTATTCCGTCTCTAAGAAACACTCATAAGACTACTATATGCAAACAGGTTACCAGTAACTTCCCAACTTGTAAGTTCAAAGGACACTTATGGATCTCTTTCCCTCCATATTCAGACCCTCCTTTCTTGATCTCTATGATACCACCGTCTCCCACTTTTCTGTCTTCTTAATTCCTTTTGAATAATCCTGTTTCCTTTACTCAATCCTTTAATATAGGCATTCCCCTTGGGCTTGGAGATTATTCTCCTGGGCAGAAAGTAATCCTGCCTTGTGAATTGATTATATTTTATTCCCTACAATGAATCTAGTATAACTAACTGTTCTCAATCTGTGAAGAGACAACTGTTTCTACCTAAAATAAATACATACCCAACCTTGTGCTCTTTTCAAAGCATTTCTCCTGGCCCAGTTTGCTGTGGAATTTAAAATGGAAGGGGGAAAACTGAAACCCAGCATCGTTCTCTACAGTTCTCTGGTTTGATTTCAACCCCAGGAAGCAGCAATCACCGTGCACTTCAGCTCCCCTCCTCAAATAGCTTTTCAGAACATTTCATGATCCTGTGGCAATCAAAACAATTTCTACATAACAAGACCTAGGAGTCGGTGAAGAAGTGTGTGTGTGCTTGACAGTTCATCCTTGCCCCTACAAGGTTTACCCTACTTCTCATTCAGATTTAGTATTATGTCCCAGAGGCCCAGAGCAGCACGATAATCTGAGTGTCCCCCAAAGTTGTTGTTAATGGTAATGGACCTTGAAGTACCCTTTCCTCAGTCATACTCCGATCTAAAATTTTTTATGGTCCAATTAGCCAGGTGAACAGGGGGGCCATGGTTTTGACTTCAGCTGAGGTTCCAGGATCCAGGCATGGGCAGATGAGTTGGAAGGCTTACCCAGAAGCTATGCATGATGAGCTGAAGGAAGCCAAGATTTCAGTTCTGGCTAAGGGGGGGAGGGGGGGGCCTTGTTAGTAAGGGAAAGTTTAAAGAATCAAGTTGAGAAGAGTGGATAGATGGTCAACCAACTAGGTAAGATGAAGTGAATTAATTTGGGAAAAGCCTGCAGGGATTCCTTAAGGCAAAGGTCATCTTTTGCTGAGCTGCTTTTGTGGAGTGGGAGTTGGGGAAACTGGGAAAGCTATTGATATCCAATTTGCGTTGGAAATTTTTGACTCTTCTCTATCAGTATTGTGGTTTTACCCATCCTAGACCAGCTATTCAGGTTACAAGAATGTGTCTTAGAAATGAGAACAGTGAAATCTGCTGTCATGTTCCCTACTCATACTTTAATTTGGATGCCTGAAATAAGTAAGGGAAACACTTCCAGCTGTGAGTTACTGAAAGAGTCTGGGACATCCCATTAAATAAATTAAAACACTTGCCAGGAGTATTCCCACGGTGAACACAAATTACACGCCGTCTTCCAGCAATAAAGACTTGAGTTCTGTTCAAAATGATAGTAAATTTAGAATTAAAGAGGTTTGTTTTCAGAATAGTTAAGGTTACAATTGGAATTATTTTATTTCATTAGACAGACTAACTTTATGCAATTTTTTATTACCATTGTTTTATTACATCGAATTCTTATTTATCAACCAGGAGAATTAAAGTGTTTGATTAAGAACAACATAATTAAAATAGATGGAATATCATTTAAAATATCAATAAGTTAGCAGTAGAATTAAAAATTGCACATTTATGTGTCTGTGTCCCCTTAGTAGATGTAAGCTCCATGAAGGCAAGGATTTGATCTTTCTTGTTTGTAATTATATACCTAGTGACAACAACACTGCCCAGGGCATGAAAATATACTCAATAAGTATTTGCTGAAATAGATGAGCGTCAACTAGGCACTGAGTACATAAGGAGTCAAACATTATATTCTCTAACATTTGGAACTTTTAAAAGTGCTTTCACTTTTAAATCATATCTGCTGAATAACAGGAATATTAGATCAGATGTAGTAATGAATATTTTGATGCTTATTAGTCATTCAAGGGTATTTTTTAAATGAAAGACTGATGTTTCTGGAACCCGACCAGGATCTTAGGATTATGAAGAGCAATAAGTGCTTATTAAGACAAATTCCTCTAACAGCATACAGTGCTCATTGAATTCACAAAATCTAAAGATCTCCAGAAGAAACTGAAAAAGAAGAGAAGGTGGATGCACAGCAGAGCTAAACCAGAACTGAGTACGACTGTTGGACCATAATTGCAGAGAGACTTCAGGGTTTTCCTTTTAAACGTAAGACAAAAGAAGCTTCAGTGATGAATATTTGCTCAGGCCTCTGCTCTCTTATGGGTATAATTTGCCACTTTACTCATAAGCACTACACAAAAAAAGTGATGATACTTGAAGGACACCAGGATCCTGGGAAGAAAGTATAAAAAAGAAAAAAATAACATGTTTGCCACACCTCTTGCCACACATGTAATGTACCCTATTGGTTCTTCCTTCTGGATATATTTTTTTCTAGAGGCAAAGAATAAGGAATTATTGTCTGTCTTACCTTCCCTTTTATCCTTGCATGTTAATAAGGAAAGGATATAAAATCTTGAAGCCAGAAAAACAAAAGTAGATGTCTTAAGCAAGCAAACAGAACACTTGTCCAATCCTTATCTTTGTAGAGGAATGTTTTGCTTACAGGTGGGCTTATTAGTGTGCATCTGTCTTATCTATGGGTCTTTCTATCTTGTCTATAGGTCCTTCTTGAAAAAGGTGTATAATCTGAAGAAAGAAAATAATACCACACTGGGCTAAAGGAGAATGCAGAAAAATAAATTTCTTGACATGTGTGGTCTATAGAAACATTTTCCATACATTCTATGAACTCCTTTTGAAAAAGTTACTTGAGGATATACTCCAGCAAAAGGGGGGAAAAATGAATCCTAAAAAGAGGAAAATATGGGATCCAAATATTCTTCTAACTCAGTAGAGCAGTGAAAAGAAACTTAAGTTTTGTAAATTAGACCAGGAAGTCAGAGGACTTTCAGAAAAATGTCTATAAGAAGAAAATGACTATATCTTACTAAATACTAAGATGAATGATCACGGTGATGAAATAACGAAGGTAATCAAAAACTCTAGAAAAAGCAAAAGCTGTATAGGAAAGTCACAATGTAAATTAAAACAAGCTGAAATGTAGTATGATTTTCAGAAATGGAGAGTAAGGAAAGAGAATCTATTTGATCTTGACACTAGATAATTCTCTTTCAAGCAATACAGGTTAGTGACATTGAATTACATTTCCTATTTCCACTTCTGTTCTTTACTGAATAATAGTTATATAATAATGATATGTTTTATTATTTTTTAGTTAAAAAAATTTAGATTCAAATCATAGAGTAAGCATATCAAGATATAAATATAGTTACAGAAAAGAATGTAAATATTATACACTTGACAAGGTCAAATGAGAGAAAGCTTTATAGAGTCTAGGAGATAGAAGGACAAGAGGATAGATAGAAGGAAGTGTAGGGTTCCAAATTTTCTTATCGTTTTTTTTTAAAGATTTTATTTTTCCTTTTTCTCTCCAAAGTCCCCCAGTACATAGTTGTATATTTTTAGTTGTGAGTCCTTCTAGTTGTGGCATGTGGGATGCCGTCTCAGCACAGCTTGATGAACAGTGCCATGTCCACGCCCAGGAACCGAACTGGCGAAACCCCGGGCTGCAGAAGCAGAGCACGCAAACTTAACCACTAGGCCACAGGGCCAACCTCTCTTATCTTAAATAATGGGAAAAGCATTGATGGGTATGAAAACAGAGGACTAAATAGATCACTCGAGGTCAAAAAGTTAACCAATAGAAGAAATGCTAGCAATCTTAAGAGCTAATAACGAAAAATCATAGTTACAATTCAAAAACAACAAAATGATAATTCCACTAACAACAAAATAACAAAAAAATATGGATAGAGCAAGATACATTTTCAGCTTTCATGATGGGGAGTCAGTAGATAACATCTAAAGTTAATAAGTCATGAAAAGGAGATATAACCATATTGTTCAAATATATGAAGGTAAGCAAAAGAAGAATTATAAATAGAATCATACTAAAAGGATTACTTCTGGGGAGGAGGTATCAGAGGTGGAGTGGAGGGTGGGAAAGTTAAACTTTTCATTTTACAATTTTATGTATTTTTGAACTTTTTTCCTTATCATATGGATATATTATTCTTGTTACATAAAAAAAGGTCAAACATTTCCTGATGACCAGCTTAGCATGCTCTTCAGTGATATTATCCCAAAGTGCATTCTTACAAAGGATAAAATGAACATACTCCTGCAGGTAATGGTGATAGATGCAGCAAGTCCAAACGAATGCTGTAGTTAATATTACAATGAGTAGAAGCATCATGAATCCAAAGAAGTCAACTGAAATGTACGAAAAGAAATCTATTTTAAGTTAGCAGATTAATAATTTTTTATGTTTTCATCTCTTCTAGTATCATGCAATCTGATTCTTAAACACTATAAATTCACAAGTTGTTATTGAAAATGATTTAATAACATACGTCACATACTCCAAGAAAACTACCATTAACTCAAGTATCACTAACATTTCAAAATAATCTGGGTCGCTAAAAGAAGGTAATATTTAATGTTCTTTATCTCCAAATTGGTTAAATATTAGGTCACTGGCTTATTTTCTTTTTTATCTCTAAACTCATTCCAGGCAATATCTCCACAGGTAAAATATGAAGATACATATGGATAGCAAGCTTGGTTTGTTGTTTGAGTTTCAGCAGTTCTTTACCAAAGAGACAACCAATGCTTGCTGGGAAGGCAGATTTCTAGCACTTGTAAACTTTTCCCCCTCAGTACTATGTAACTTAGCCTGGTGTTCCCATTCATACTAAATATTTGAAATTTTACTTGTTTATAAGCTCTTTGTTACAAACTATTATGATTTAAATATATACCTGATAGTACCTGAAGAAAATAGGGACTCGTGAGTAAAATCCATGTTTTTTAACTTCAGTTATGAAAAAAACAGACAACTGCTTGTTCTAGATTGGGTTTTCTCATATAGTTATGGTTCACCTGGAAAGTCTTTTGTTTCAACATTTTTTTTAAACTTCTTAAAAGATTCTAGTGCAGTTCCCTGCCTTGGTAAGTATCACATAACAAACCAAAGATACAGCATTACAGATATAATTTAAAGAGTCTTTGGTGACTGAGATTTGTTCAGTCCTAGGGAGTCATCCTTCTGAATGGCAATTCTCAGTATAGAACACATTAGCTGAGGAGATATGTTATAGTATTGCTACTGGGCTCCTTATGTTCTCATCCCAGGACTAGCTTATAAGAAACTTCTAGAGTTCCTAAAACAACATAAGAACACAAACCTGCCTTCACTGGGTTATGGTTATTGTACACCAGAGAATTTTAGAGATAAAATTTAAAGTATTTAACAACTGGTATGGTGAGGCACGCACCAATCAGAATGAATGTTAACCTAGTTTCAACTAACACTGGCTGGAAACAACCAGTAAGCCTGTATCAAGGAGAAATACCAATGAACAGACTTGCTATATTTTAATAAAGCAAATATAATAATTTATAATCCTTCAAATATAGCAAATCACTAGTATTTGCAAGTCAATTATAAAAACATACATAAGAATTCAAATAAGGACAACTCACCTCTACAGTTTAACCAATATACAGAACTGAGTTGACACCCAAAAAACGGAAAACAAAAATTTTTGCAAGTTCTGTCTGCACTGCACCAAAAACACTATATTTGGAAAGAAAAAATAAAAGCAGTGTCAAACTACAATCCCAGTAAATTTTTAGTGCTATTTCAATAAGTATTCAATAAATGACAGCCATCATTATTTCATTATTATTTGTAGGAGATGGTGGTGGTGGTCTGCAGATCCCCTTTACCAGGCCCATGCACCCAAACCCCAGCTACAGTGAGTGCTGGCTGCCGATGGCTCAGGCTGTTCTTCTTCTTGAACTGTCCTCGATGGATAGGCACTACCTTGCCTGTAAGGTTACTTTCCCCTCTGCCAGTAATTGACTGATATTTGGGGTTCCAAACAGTGGGCATCCTTGCCTCAAGACTGGGCTATCTCTGCTACATGATTTTTTGCCCCAGGGCTGCTCCAGGTTCAGGCCAAGTGTAGACTTTAGCTGAGACCACATATTTTCTTGGCTCCTGTCCCTTACTTGCCCTGAGTCCCTTACTCCTTCATAGACTAACTCAAGAAATCACATGTACCTGAATCCCTATGTCAGGTTCTGGGTTTAGGGAAGTAAACCCGAGACATTCTCTCACAATGTAGCAACAAGGACTTCAGTAGACAGGCTTCATTTTTTGTCTTTTTTAAATCTCCAATACTCCTTCCCATTCCCCTTGTCTGCAGCATTCTCTGTCTTCTGGCAAGTCCTCCTCTGTTACATGTGGGCCCAGTGGTGCTGTCAACCAGTGTTACCTAAGCCTCCTCTCCCTTCCGTTCATTGGTGGTCAGATAATCATGTGGAAATAGGAAAACTTAATTCTAAGTCCCTTGTTAAAGAGAGCAAAAGCAAGGTACAGAAGGAGAAACCACTGTGGGAGGGAGATAAGACTAGAACCTGGAAGAGTCAAAATAATGAGGACAGACTGGTAAAAACGGCTGTCACTTACATAAGGCCCACCATGTGACAAGCACCATTCTAAGCCCTTGATTTATATTAACTAATTTCATCCTCACGACAACCGTGTGAGCTAGGTACTATTATATCCACTTTATAGATGAGGACAATAAGGCACAGAGCAGTCAAATGACTTACATAAGGTCAGACCCTAGTAAATAAGGAAACTTAACTAACCTAATCAGTCTGGTTCTGTGCTAGTAACCAATCCTACAAGACTGATCCCAGATCCCTCCCAACCACTTCCTGCTGTGCTTCCTGAGACCAGTAGAGGTAATGATTCACCCAATGTAAAGAACCACCCCTTAGACACTGCCTGAGAGCAGGAGGTATATCACAGGCCAGCTTTTGTTTCATGTTAACCAAGACCAAAGGTCAAATGAAGTCATTTAGGCAAATCTAAGATTGCAGCCACTTTAACTGAATGAGTCCTGTCCTCTTGAACTGCTGCTTAAAGCCTAGAACTGCAAAGACAAGACTAGATTCAAGGATTACAACCCAGAGACTTCTGGCCTTGGTTTTAGTTCTCAGAATTTCTAGGAATTAAGTCACGTCATCTAGTAGAGTTTTAAGGGAGATGAATTGCCAGAAAAAACCTGAACCTATCAGACCTATTAGAGAGGAACTTGTGGTTACTCAGCGTTAAGCTGATTCCCAGGCCCCAGCAACCAAGTCCACAGCAGGCAAGCTCCTAAAGCAGTATGGTCCTCAGAAGACACCTTCTCTCCTATGCTTTTCTCTGATGGGGGTTCAGAGAACAATGGAAAAGGAGCTCCTTCACAGGTTGAGCCTGGGGCAGCCAGATGGGTGACCAATAACTCACTGTTTGGCCAGGGAAACTCAGAACATCTGCACATCATGCACCTCTCTGAGATTCCAGACTGAGAGCTGGGAGGCAATAGCTGACAATGGCTTTGGGTAAATACAATTTTAGTTGAGGGTTAGTTGCATTATTTTGCCGGGAGCATTTTTTTAAATGTAGGGATGGAGAAAATAGAATGTATATGTCCTGAAAGGTCGAAAGGTGGAATACAGCAAAGTAAGGTAGTTTATTGTTTTTAACTCTTCTGCCCAGCTTGTGTCACTATCCTTCTTCTTTTGGTAACCACACCCTTTTTCCTTTGTGGACCTCTTCCCCCAACTCTGTGTGGTTCTGCAGCTGTCAATCAGCATTGCCCCACCAATTTCCTACTACAGGAATCATCTGACCCCAGTAACTAGAACTGGACTGGACAGAGGACCCACATAGGGCCAAACAGAATCTTCTGTGGAGACGTATACAGACATTGGGAGATATCTGCTGGGAGCCAGCCTCTTCCCCAACTATATGGAGAATGCCCATTTGCCAAAGGAGAAAATGAGGTCAATACACACAGGGAGGCAGAGCTAGGAGATGAAAAGAGAGAGAGGAAATGGGAATAACATCCTTTAAAATTCAGCTTTGCATGAAGCCAAGGCCACCTCTGGACTTCTCAAATTTTTGAGTCAATAAATTCCCCTTTTTATTATATTAGTTCGAGTTGAGTTTCTGTGACTTATCAAAAACAGATTTGACTAATACCTTAACTAAGTCTAAAATGTCTTCAAAGAGCAGAACTTCACGTTACCCAGAGAAAGAGTGTAATATATTCAACTTCCCTAAATTGGAAATGCATAATTTAAGCAAAATACATGGATTTTTTTCTTATGGCTAAGGAAGATGACCCATATAAACGTGAAGCCATGCCAACCTCATACTCTTAGGAGAATGACAACTGAGAAGTCAGCTAAAAGATTTTAGAATGATGGTTAATATTGCTCCATGGGAAAACTAGAGTATTCATTTTAGGGTAGAACTCTGTTTTAATAAGCTTATATGGACATCAAAATTGATATTTTTATAAGCAAATATTAAAATGAAAAGATGCAGAAAGGGGAACGGTACATAATAATGTTGAGTGACTTGTTAACATTGTACAAACCAAATGGTTTAATGTTATACTGGCAAAAGAAATATTAAATAGGAGTTACTGTGCAAAGGATGATTTTAAAGTAGTGGATGTAGACAGCATCAAAAGAGCATTTATTGATGGTTTATGGGCAAAAGCACCAAAGGTTACACAGATATATAAAGCACTGTTTTTTGCTTTCTAGAGGGAGACAATTTAATTGGCAGGTACATTATATACACTGTACAAAATCTCTAAATGGGAGACTATTATAATTTCAAAAGGAGTGAAACATATAAAATGTAATAGATGTTCAGAAGAGAAAGTACTCACTTCTGGTTGGAATGACTAGATAAGATGTCTTTCAGGGAATAGACAGAATGTGGTCTGAACCTTGAGGAATAGGTGAAATCTAGACACAGAAGCTATGGCAGAATGAAAGAACAGCTATCCACTGCGGCAGGAGTGAAAATCCATCATGGTGGAAGTTTGTGGAATAATTTGGAAAGGTAGCCTTCTCTCAGGTTGTGGTAAGTTTTGAATGCCAGACTAAGGAGTTTGTGTTTAACAATAGGGATCCAACTGAATTATTTTGAGTTAAAAGGTGACATGATGAAAGTGCTAGTTACGGCAATGAATAAGGCATGAGGAGGGACTGAGGGGTTGGAAGTCTAGAATTGTTCAAGTTGAAAGAAAAGAATGGAAAGTTTGATAGGACTTCATAAACTGCAGATAGAGAAAAAGGAAAAGAAAGAAGCCACAGATTTCTAAAATTATGGGTCTGGGAGAATGTTACCAGAAACAAATAAAGAAGTAAATAAAATGAGCTTCTTTGGGGAAGGAAAATGATAAATTTAGTCAGAGAAAATTTGAGCTTGAGGTGATGAAAAGCTCCAGGAAGAAATGTCAATTAAGCAACAGTGAGCGTGACCCCGAGGCCCAGCGGGGCTGTTAGGTCTAGGAAATGAATTTGGGATTTCCCTACGTACAGGTACTAGCAAAGGCCATGGCAGTAGGTGAGGTAGCACAGGTGAGAACACAGTACTAAAAAATGTTCAGCAATAGGAGAAAGGATGGGGAAGAGGAGTTGGTAAAGGAAATAGAGAGGTGAGGGAAGAAGCAGGGCAGAGTAAAGTGAAAAATCCAGATCACCACGGAAGGAGCAAGTTTCCAAACTGAGTGACTAACTTGCAAGATCATGGCATTCAGTTATGAAGAGTCTTTTGTAGCCTCTAAATCAGTTTACTAAGGAGTAAATCAGACAGCATGATAAGGAAGCAAGGGTAAGATAAGGACTTTAGCTGCTAGAAACAAGAAAGTTTGGTTTGGTTTTTTCAATTTTGTCTGAATTCAGAAAGGAAGGAGCCAGTGCAGAGAAATAGAATGAATTTGTCATGGGGGAAGAGAAAGGAGAAAGTTTCTGAGTTTGTGAATGTGCATGTGTTTCTGAGTATGATGTGTGAGTTGAAACAAAGACGAAGGGATTAGCCTTGGAACTGAGAATCGATTTCTTAAGGGGAAAAAGAGTGTGAGAGAAAAGACACTGAGCTGGTTCAGAAGGAAAATGAGGAAACTTGAACCTGACAAATGGCCTTAAACTTCCCAAGGAAGTCATGCTCCAGAAGGATGGTGTGCCAAGAGCAGGTAAGGTGTTGGGAATAGTTGTCCTGGAGAATAATCCATGAAACTTATTCTCCACATTTTTTCTTCAGCTGAGAGATTCTTGACAGGTGATATCTACATGTTCACTGGCACATCCAGATTTGGATCCATGCCCCTATCCACCTCCCCCCCATGCCCTAATACACACACACACACACACACACACACACACATACACACAGTTTTTCAGAAAAATAGATATCAAAGCGGACATCTTCATGAGGTGTGAGGTATGGCATTTATAAGTGCATTTTACAAGCATGTGAATAATGGCCATTTCCTGCGAATTGTGCAATAGATGAGGTAGGCTGTGGGAGATTCAAGAAAACCCATTGGGCTTTCTATAACTTCTTTCCTTTCTGTCCCAACAAATAATCCATATCAAAATGCAATGAATGAGAAAGATGTGATTATGGAGAAAACCTAGAAGCTACTCTGATTTATTTTTTAAGTCAGTTGCAAAACTCAGTCTTTTAACTGTCATTAGCAAAAAAAAAAAAATACTTATCACAAGTTTCATCATTGTGACACCATGATTGAAAACTATCATTCCACGGATTCAACAGTAATACACAATGATTCTGAACAGCAATGAAAGCCCAGGTGAAACTTTGCACTTGGTCTTTTAGTTAGCATGGCTTTTGAAATTTTATGTCTAGTGGAAGAGAAGATATTAACAAAAATATGATGTTTTCCTATGCTGTGTTTATGAGTTGTGTGTTGGGGGGTAGTATTATAAATAAGTTATTTTTTGTAAGAATATTTTCACTCAAAGAAGGCTAGTCATACACTACCGAGTCACAAGGAAATGTTTCAGACAGAATCTGAGGAAGATTCTCTTAAACTTAAAAAGGATAAGCATATAACTTATTATTCAAAGTGGAATATTTTGGGGAATGAAAAGGAGTCAGTATAATAATTGTATCAAGTCAATGGTGGTGAACACCACCATAAAGTAGGACAGTCCTAGACATTCTAGGACATCTATTCATCTTCCTTATGGTCCAAGAACTCAGATTTTCTTGGTTGCTTCATGAATTGCCATCTATAAATCCTGGCACTCTCTTCTAATAGTATGGAAGGTGGCGGACACTTTACTGAAAGCCTGGTATTCTTCCAATTCCTGGGAGATGAGGGATGATACTCTAATTCTGTGTTGACCATGAGGAATTATCCCTTAGTTTATTTCTATGAGGTATTGAGAGTATATTAAAAATTACTCTCAAATATACATATCCCCAGAATTGCCATAATGGCTTATGTTTGTAAATTTTCTCAGATAAAATTTTCTACCTTGTTACATTATAGAGTATATTAAATATAATTTAATCTTTTAATGGCTCAACTCTTAACTCAGTTCAATAGCTATTGAATACTGTCATGTGCTGGGAAATGTGTCAGGTGTTAGAGATGCAAAGATGAATAAAACATGCAGTCTGTCCTCAGAGAACTGAGAATGGGGGAAAAGCGAACATGCAAACAATTTATATGATATGAGTTACAATTCAAAAATGTACATGTTCAAGATTCAAAACAGAGATATAGGGGAATTGGAGGAAGTATTCTTATTCCTTTAAGAGGAAGGGTAAGAATGGATAAGGAAGGGTAAGAATCACAGGAATTTTATCAGTCTGGGGAGTGAAGTTGACACCTAGAGCCTCTATTATTATCCATAAAATCAGAGACAAAGTCATCTGTTGAGAATGAATGAGTGTAAGATAACATTGGAACTTTAAGGATGGTAACCAAGTTTTAGAATTGCTGCTGTGGGAAACTAAAGGAGATGTCACTAACCAAAGGCAAGTAATGGGTAGTATTTGGGCCAGAAATTGTGAATTTGTAGTTGCACTATGCTGACTTTGATGCAATAGGCTAATAATGCATAGCATATGAAAAGACAGACCAAAGGACCAATCGGGGCCAGGGAATGTAGATCCAGCACAGTTAATGATAAGAGGGCAAGGGCATTAAAGCAGTGGTAGTTTTTGCAACCTCTAATGAAATAATGGATGTAGGCAAGGATCGTCAAGTCTGCTAACATCACAAAGTGCTAGACAACAGACCTTATTTGCCTCCTAATGAAAGTTCTCAGCATGAAGTATTCCTGTTAAAAAAATTAAACTGAATCTGAGCAAGACTCTGTATCTGATTTCCAGTTCACAGAAACAGAAGAACAGAGAAAAGAGGAACCTGATAAAGCACATCATGGGGATGTGACCAGCAAAATCCAAACTGTGGGAAACCCAATAGGACAAACAATTCAGTTTCTATAACAAATAAGTTGTAATAAAGAAGAAAAGAGAGGGAGAAGGAACATATGGGTAAAAAGAGATGTAAGAGATTTATCAGCCAATTGTAATGTATGGACTTGATCCAAATTAACTTTAAAAAATTATGAAACGTGGGGCCGGCCTGGTGGCTTAGTGATTAAGTTCACATGCTCCGCTTTGGCAGCCCAGGGTTTGTGGGTTTGAATCCTGGACATGGACCTACACACTGTTCATCAAGCCATGCTGTGGCGGCATCCCACATACAGTAGAGGAAGACAGGCACAGATGTACGCTCGGGGCCAATCTTCCTCACCAAAAAAAATATATGTATGAAACAACAAGAGAAATATGATTATTTCCTGGATGCTTGATGATATTAAGAAGTTATTGTAAATTATTAGATATGATAATGAACTTGTAACATTTTAAAGCAAAATCTTTTATATATATATGTATATGTATACACCCATATACAAATCTTTATAAGTAAAACTATATGGTATCCATATCATTATTTGCTTCAAAATAATTCATGTTGGAGGGAGAGGGCATACATGAAATAAGACTGACCAAGACGGATCCAGGGGTATGAAGTTTTATTATTCTGTTTTCTCATGTTTGAAGACTTCCATTGTAACAAACAAAGAAGGGTGGAAGAATATTCCATTCAAGTGAACAGCCATGAGAATTCATGGGAAGGAAGGGAGTCCATAGGAGAGGGCCAATAATCTGAGGGAAAAATCAGAGATTAAAGGACTAGAGGACAGTCTTGTCCTGTGGAGGCCAAAAAGTAGGTACACTATAAGGGAATGAGAATGTAAAAGCCATTGTAGGTCATGCAGGGTTCAGGGTGTGGCCATGGAAGTGACTTTTCAATGCACAGAGCTGAAGAAGTCAAGATACTGTGGACCGAGTGTGTCTGGGCCATCACCAAGGATGGAAAGCACATAAGGCGATGGCAGGAATTGGGTGGAGAAGTCCATGAGCCAGGAGCCCACGGCCTCATTAAAGCAGAGTAGTGGCCTAGATGAAGCTAAGAAGGGACCTAGGGCAGTACATGAAGATCACTCACTATGACAGATACCAATTACTAGAGTGTGCCCTTTTCTAATTAGTGGTTTCGTGTCTTGCTGTCTTTCATGTTAATTGTCAGTTCTCCAAAACCGTTTAGAGTAGAATGGTTTTCTGAGGGTTGCTGCCAAGCTCTCTGTATCACCACTTCCCTCATTACTTAGGGCATTTCTGCTTTCTTCCAAATCTGAAGTGAAGAATAATGACGTCAGATGTCTAATCATCCCACAAGGGGATCTTAGCTACATTGTGGTTAAGGAACAGTGTCTCATCCTTTCTAATCTTTAGGGAATAGAGCAGCAAGGAAATTTTCACTGCATCTCAAAGTGCTTATCTTTTCTTTGACTTACAAAAAATTCTTCCTTAAGCCAGTATAATTTTTTTCAAGCAAAAAATTGTATTGTTTTTGAAGTATAATTTTCCAGAAGGAAGTACATGTTTGTACTAAATTCTCCCATGGTTTATTTCAAGATGCTCAAAGAATGGTTTAAAATGCAGAAATACATCTTAACAAATACATTAGTCATTTCTATTGTTTAAAAAAAATTATATAAAACAAAGTTTAGCATATCTTTTAGACTAAGACTGTAAATTGTGTGACTTTATAACATTCCTAAGGTAATTTCTTTATTTGAAATTTAACTTACTTTATTATCTTCTGTGCACTTTTGACAATTTTTCCTTACAGCACATGCTGCAAGAAAGAAAAGTAAAATACAAAACTGTAAATACAAAGTCTATTTATTGCTCAATTTTATATAAAAGTGCATTTCTTGGGGGCCATCCTGGTGGCGTAGTGGTTGGGTTCAGCGCACTCTGCTCTGGCAGCCTGGGTTTGCAGGTTTGTATCCCAGGCATGGACCTGCATCACTCATCAAGCCATGCTGTGTCAGGGACTCACATGCAAAATAGGAGAAGACTGGCACAGATGTTAGCTCAGCACCAGTCTTCCTCAAGCAAAAAGAGGAGGACTGGCAACAGGTGTTAGCTCAGAGCTGATCTTCCTCATTAAAAAAAAAAAAGTGCATTTCATTTAGTCATTGCTGTTTCATGGCATATTCATCCATACCCCAACGTTTTACTTTATTATTTTCATATATCTAGACACTTTTCCTATTGGTACTATTTAAATCCTAACTCTTATTTTCTCCTGTTACTCTAAAAAAATGAAATGGCATCATCCCACTTTCATTAGCCAAGTAAGTTCTAAAAAATAAGTTAAAAAAAAAATAGGGAAAAACAAATAGGCAATATCACTTATACTTAAAATATCATACTTTAAAAACCTCTTTGAGTAACTTTGTTATTCAGTATGGTTTTGCCAAGATATTCCTGGCTAACTAGTCCTTTAAATAGTAAAAAAAAAAATTTAAATATTAAAAAAATGTTTTGCCACAAAGCTTTAAAAACTTCCACCAAATGAGGATTTTCATTCTTCTTGTTTTATGAAAAAATAAACAATATAATTTCTATTTGAAAGTTCCAAAATAAAAAATATGAGTTTAGAAAAAAAGCACTTCAATCGCTCTTTTTATTACTTCAATGTCTCTGTAAAGTAAGGAGGGTCTGGAATTAATATCCTAGTGGTCATGTGACACAGTAATAGTAAAGTCACTCTCTCTATTACTCTGGAGACAGGGTTCCAGCCTCTGTGGGAAAGATCAGACCTTCCTATTTAATTTTAAATTGTTTGATTGGATACAGATCTGATTTGGCTGGGAAAAAACTTACAATAGCTTTTCAAATTAAGTTCTATTAAATATTACTTCCTCCAACCCCAAAGTATCATTGAAGTCCCCGAGGGAAAGCTGAGTGAAGGAGAAGGCAAGGCAAATGGGGAAGACCCTATTGCTTCAGCTGTGTTGGGGACAGCTGGCTTCAGGTTCACTGCGGGAGGCAGGGTAGGGACACAAAAGGCACATGACTTAGCCATCATTTTCCAAATTCTACTTGCTTCCCACAGCTTTTTTTGTTAGCTAAAGTTTTTATTTTGGAATAACTTTAGATTTACAGAAAAATTGCAAAGATTATACAGGGAGTTTCTGTATACCTCTCATCTAGCTTCTGCAGCACTAATATCTTAACATAGTACATTTAGCAAAAAAGAAATCAACATTAATAGATTACTTTTTTCTTTTTGAGGAAAATTAGCCGTGAGCTAACATCCACTGCAATCTTCCTCTTTTTGCTGAGGAAGACTGGCCCTGAGCTAACATCTGTGCCCATCTTGCTCTACTTTATATGTGAGATGCGTGCCACAGCGTGGCTTGATGAGCAGTGCTAGGTCCACGCCTGGGATCCAAACCAGCAAAGCCCAGGCCACTGAAGCTGAGCAGGCAAACTCAATGGCTACGCAAATAGACTGGCCCTGTTAATACATTACTATGAACTAAACTTCAGAGTTTATTAGGATTTCATCAGTTTTTACACTAATGCTCTTTTCCTGTTCCAAGATCCAGGATACCATATTGCATTTAGTCATCAGGTCTCCTTTAGTCTGTGACAGTTTCTCAGTCTTTCCACGTTTTTCACGACCTTGGCAGTTTTGAGGAGTACTAGTCAAATATTTTGTAGAATGACCTTCAATTTGGGTTTGTCTGATGTTTTCCTCATGATTAGACTAATGATATGGGTTTTGGGGAAGAGTACTGCAGAGGTGAAATTCCCTGCATTACATCATATCAGCATGTACATGATATCAACATGGTTTTTATTTAGTTTTTAGATATTTAAATACATTAGAGAAAGTTGAAGACAGAAGGCTGCTGCTAGTACTAGTTGAAGACATGGGACATTGTGTGAACTAGGAGAAGGTGCATCTCTGAAAGGATCAGTTAGAAAAATGCACACCCTTCCTGAGCAGCCACAGCCAGGAAGCTGGCTTAAAGGGGAATATAAACTGACCTTTGCCCTGAAGTTATATGGAATGCTTATTAAGCAATTTATAAACAAAAATGCTTATTTATAAACAATTATAGCCCATCTTCACAATCCTCAAAGGTCGTTATTATTAGCCTCACTTTACCAGTGAAGAAACTGACCTCAGAAAAGTCAAATAACACATTCAAGTTCACTTGCTAATAATGACAGAGCATGGATTTGAGCTGTTTTGACTGCCATCACCTCTCCCTTCTCCTGGGAAATATAACCCATCCTTCTTCCTTTGCAGAACTGCTCCCTCCTCAGCTCTAGACACATAGATATGATTGGTAACTGCCCTCTTCTACATACTCCCTTTTCCCAGCCAGGTATCTAAGGCTGCGCACCTGAACCAAATTGGGCTAATCCCAGACCACACTCATTGGTCCAGGGAGAGGGAATGTGGCCAAGTCAGGCCAGTCAAAATCCTCCCCCCATAATTTTACTAATTGGAACTTGAGGGTAAAGGAGTGGTGAGAAGCCTCCTTTCCTTTGCATGGAAAGCTGAGAGGATGTGGGCTTGGGAGCTGCCAGTGGCCATGAAGTCCTGAGGAAGAAGCTAAGAGGAGAGAACAAAGTAGACAGGCAAAGAAGAGGAGCAACAACAGAAGAAATAGAGAGCTGATGGTGATTCACTCATTTCTGAGGTCTGCTGCATTTCTATACTCTCTTGTATCGCTCAAGTGAGACAAAATTACATTTCTCTTACATGTATAATCTTGGGTTCTTACACTGCAACTGAAAACATTCCAGTTAATACAAAGTCCACAGCCTTGTTTCTTTCTAAGTCCTGATATTTTCCTTCTTTTCATTATTGCTACTTATTTCTTTTTTACGTTATTAAAACAGGGTTATTGTCTTTATGTAGTTATAAAAGTAATACATGTTCAACATAAGAAATAAGTATACATGAAAAATAAAAATGAGCTGAAATTCCACCATCCAGAGAAACTGATTCTCCATTTTACCGTATTAAGCAAACTATTTCCATGATCTGAACTTGGATTTTGCCATCATTCCAGATGGATCCAACCAGCAACTCTTAAATTCTAATATTCTATACGCTGACTAGAATCTTCTTTTCTTTCCTCTCTTGCTTGCGTTTTGACATCACTCAGACCTTCACTTTCCTTGACCTTTCCATTGTTTCCCAAATCTGCCCCTCATGGCCTCATTTCCTTCATGTCAGTAAATGACTCGATCTGATTCCATCTCATAGGTTTAGATTGAGCACTTGTATAACAACCAGTCTTTTTTGCCCTTATTGGAGAACCAGTGAGGGCCAGCTGATCTACACGACCATGTGCTACACAAAGTAATAGGTTCTTTCTTTCTTTCACTCTATTCCTGAAGAAAGAAGTACTAGCGATTTGCACAGCATTATAAGGTACCAGATTCTTCCCTTACCATAAAGGCCTGATTTTTGTATATTTGTTTTGTATCTAGTCACTTCCTTCCTCTTGATTACATTTTTTCATAATTTTTGCAGCATCGTTCTCTCCTGGTTCTTGTAGAGCATCTCTGGACATTCTTTTTGAGCTTTCTTGACTGGTTCTACTTCCTCTACCAATGTCTAAAATGTTGTTATTCTATAAAGTTCCATCCTTGGTCCTCTTCTCCCATGAGGGATCACAATTTCGAATTCCTAGAGATGCCAGGCATCAACATACATTATACCAGGTATCAAGAAAAAATCTCTCTTTTTGATTGGCATTTCAATGAGTTAATAAATTAATAATTTAAAACACTGAACAACTGAATCAGACAAGCTGATTCTAAATTTTATCTGAAAAGAGAATATTTTCAAGAACAGCTAAGAGAAAAAAACAATGGGGGGGCAGATAACAGGCTTTATATATTATAATTTTCTATACTCTATCCTTATATTTTATTTACTTGATCTGTTGATTTCTGATATAGGCATGTAAAGTGATTCCATGTGGTTTTTAATTTATCAAATGCTCTTTTATTTCTAGCAGCTTTTACTGCATCTATTTAAAAAACTATGTTGTTAATTAAATAAAAGTTCATAATATGTCATTTTCATGTATCTTTCTATATGTCAGTATAGAATATCACTTATTCTTCCACTTAAAAGATTTTTTTCTTGAATTCTATTTTATCTAATATTAATATCGCCACACTTGCTTCCTTGCTCAGTAGTATTTGCAAGGTATATCTTATTCCATCAATTTATTCTTTGTTCCTTAATTTCCTCTAGTTATTTTGAAGTCACACCTCCTGTTTCTTTTTCTATATAAACTGTTACTTTAAAAATTTGAGAGATATATTTTATATGCCTCTTTCTATCATTGTCTAATCAGGATCTACATTCTCTACCTATATAAGGATCCTAATATGCTTTGGCCTGTTCCTTTTCCTCCCCAAACCACTTCCCAGGTAGAAATCATCTGTAATTTTAATTATTATTAAATAGTTATTAATATATTTACTTGTATTTATATATTTATATTAATATAGTTATTAATAACTATAATAGTTATTAGACTGTTATTATATTTCAATTGTTATTGACTTACCGTCAAACATTAGAATTAACTCTAGGTTTTACTGGTTTCTTTACTTACTACTCATTCTTGAATCCCACATTTCCCCTTAATTCATTTTCATTTTGCTGAATAATATCCTATTAAGGTATATATAATATCCTATTAATATATATAATATCCTATCTGTGAAAGTTAGGAATCGTTTGAATACGGATATTCCTCAACTTACGTGGAGTTACATCCCGTTAAACCCATTGTAAGTCGA